GAAGTTACTCATTGATGGGAATAGATGCAATTCAAATCAAGATGAGACTAGATTGGGAATGAAACCTTATTTAGTTAAAGAAACCTTTATTGTTCTCAAAACTCAATGGTGTCTTATTATTTTGAGACACCCTATATTTTATCCATGTGAATCTGATTACTGAGTACAGAGCTTGCCTTAAAATGTAACTGGTAGAGCGTTGAATAAACGAATAAGATAGAGAATTATTGGTTTCTACTACGTTATTTTGTATGTAGAATTGTTCAGCACTTTCTTAAAAAAATCATTAAAAAAAATCACATTGATCAATGGCGAAAAATTAATTTTTCCATTCTCATGTTTATATTTTAATTATTACAAGAGACGACATTATCAATAATATGCTGTGCGAAAGGCTGACATAAGTACTCAAGGTTCATATATGAACGTTCGGTTAGAGGCTATTCTCTTTTTGCATATAAACTAATTTTGTTGCCTCTCAAGACTTGTGAAACACTCATATAAATTTAGATAAATCTAATAATTTAAATGAATTGCAAAAAAAAAGATCCAAGTAGTTCTTCGGTGTTCTTGAAAAGTATTGGAGAGGAGCAAGAGGGTTAACTTAATGATTTCTATAGAGATAAATAAGACCATTGATTGTTAACGATTACCGATTCAATAATAAAGACTTAACTTTATTTTGAGTCGGTAAAATCATATATAAACATACTCTAGAAAAAATTATAATTCATAGATAAAAAAATTCATATTGACGACGCTAAATTTATAGGCAAAGTAAAAGAAATAAAATTTTAACAATAATTTGATAAATTCTTTGATTGGAAATTTACAAAATTATTTCTGAAAAGAAAATAGTCATATTTAATCTACAAACAAGTTATTTCTTTTTTATAAAACAGATTTATTCACACATGTTCTCAATGAGAAATACATTCAGAAAAAAAAATAGAAGTATATTTCCACAGGGTTTTCATTTTTGTTCAGTTCATTTTGTTTTATTAGGGGATAACACATTGATTAATAGGTTTTTCGTCTGAAAGAAAAATCAAAAATAAATAAAAAAAGAAAATTTTAATCTAATCTTCTTACCTAAGTTTATCATTAACAATTTTAATATTTCTATTAAGTTGTTCAATATCTTGTTGAGGTATTTGTTCCTGTTTTTCAAATAAAAGATATGCTTTATTAAAATATTCTAAAGCCATTCGATATTCTTGTGTTTTAGCATAAACAGTTCCAATATTTGCATAACTTCTAGCAACATCAATATGAGTATCTGATAATAATTTTAAACGCATATCAAGTGCTTGTCGTAAATTAGTTAAAGCTCTATCATATTCATGCATATCTGAATATGCAATACCAATATTATTATGTAATGATGCTAATTGTAAATGATGAGCTGGTAATTGACGTGTACGATATTTAAGAGCTTCTTGATAATGTTCAAGTTCTTCTTCATATTTTCCTTGTTGACTATAAATTAATGCTAAATTATGATGAACACAAGCAATATGTAATGGTAATGATGTATTTTCTAATGCTCTATTAAAATGAATTAATGCTTCATCAATTTGATCTTGTTGTGCATAAACAAGACCAATACTATTATGTAATGAGGATTTTATTAATTTATCATTTGGTTTTAAATTTAATGCTTTTTCAAAATATTCTAATGCTTGTTCACTATCATCTTTAGAATATGAACAAAGACCAAGACCACGATAACATTCTAATTTTGATAAAGATTCAGAATTCTTTTTTAATAAATGTTTATAAAATTGTTCAGCTGAATTTGGAGATATTTGACGAAGAAGATTTGCTAATGCTATTGCATTTTCAGTATTTGACCGTTTTGTATCATTAAGGAATGTAAATACTTGAGAAAAATCTTGATTTATTCCTTCATCATATAATGTTAACTGAATAATCCAACAATCATTATTTATATCAAATACAACAGTATTAATTCTAAAAATAGAACCAATAAAAAATAATATTGAATATAAATCATTATCTTCATTTGATGATTTCTTATAATTATTTAAATAATTAATATCAATAAAAGGACGTTGTTTTTGTAAAGAATATTCTGAAGGAATTTTCATTTCAAATAAAACTCGGTAAACTGAATCACTTGGTGGAACACTTTTACGGAGAAATCCTAATGAATCTTGACGATTTTTACTTGCTAATATAAAATTATTCATTGATAATATTTCACCTATAATCAAAGAAAAACAAACACAAAACACATAATTATAAAGAATTTATAATATGAATATATGTAAATAATTATTACCAAGATTTGATTTTATTTTAAAAAGAATTTCTTTTGATAAAGTTTGTCCACGATAAAAAATTTGTTCATTTGTTAATCTTCCATTAATATATCTTCCTGAGTTATTTGAATAAAAATTTTGTTTTTGATTTGATATTGAAACATTTTCAATCATCATTTTAAACATATCTTTTATGAAAAATCTTAATGAAAATAACATTCGAATATCTAATTTTAATAAAGATTGAGTTAACATTCGTCGAATAAAATAATCATCTATAAACCATGTAAAAACATTTTTATTTGGATTATATTCATCATCAAATTCATTTATTAGTTTTAATTCTTTTCGATTTGAATAATAATAATTTTGAATAATATCAATAAAATCATTTTTATTTAATATTGATGATGAATTTAAACAATATTGTTTAATAAATAATTGATATAATAAAAAACGAAGATGATCAGTTGAATTATTATTTGTTTGAACAGCATCAATACGACTATAAACAGTTATTGGAATTAAATCATTTAGATTTGTAGAAATTTTCACGTCCAGTGCCAATTGTTCCAATAAAATTTCACGATCAAAATAAATGCCTTTCATCTTAACAAAAAACAAATTAAATATTTCTTTTTTCGCAATCTGAATATAAATTCAAGTTGAAACCGTTCTTATAGAGGTTATCACTAGCAATATTGAAAACGATCTTTTGTTGTTACAATTTATATCAAAAAATAATATGTTGTAGTGTTTTTTTAATAACTTTTTACAGGAATATCATAGAGACCTGCTGTTTTCACTATTCAAAAGAGAAGATCCGGGGCTAGCGATGTATATCGAAATTAGATTCTTCAGTAATTGACCAATCAGGTGAGTTCTTAATGTAGGTTTTCGAAAATGATATTTTGAAACTGTTTTTTCTTTCGATCTACATAAGACTAGCATCCTTAACTTGTTCCGTTCGAGAATTATAAGACTTTTCCCGAGACTCCTGATTTCTGTCAATTGACATTGGGTCACTCGGAAGAGCAGCTCGAAGGCAAAATCATTTATCATGCTGAGTTGAATGGTGATATTTGTTTTTAGGTTCGAATCGATCTGACTCTGTTATCTCAATATTTCTGAAATTCCACAATCAGTCATCATGTAACGAAGAAGTCGACATTTCCAAAAACATTGGGATAACAGTTTTAGAGCAGTTCGAACCTACAAACAAATATTACCACTTGGCTCAGTATAAAGAATTACATCTTCGAGTTGTTTGTCTACGTCATCATGGGTTGATTGGCTGAAATTGAAAGTCACAGGAAAAGTATTATAACTTTTGAACGGAACAAGCTAGCAATGCTGATCTTGCATAGATCGAAAAGAGAAGAATTTTTACTATCGAGTAATTCTATTAAAAGTTTAAGTTGAAAGAAAAATAACTTTAGAATATCGTTTTTCGAAAATCTTCACGAAGAACTCACTTAATTGGTCAATTGTGACTAATCAACTGTCGATATCGTTCGATGGTCCCGAGTTTTTTCTCTTGAATAATGAAAATCAGAGATCTCTCCGATGTTTCTATCAAAAGTTATACGACAAACAGTAGAGCACATCAGATTTTGCAAAGGATGATAGTTATGGTTACTTTCCTAATTTCGTAACTGACGTCACCATATATTTATTATAAATATCTCTAGATTAAGATTTGCAAGTAACTGACAAAAATTCTTTCTTCTATGAATTCATTTAAACTGTCAAGTTCATCTTTCAATAATAAATAATACAATATAATGGTATTAGAATAATACCGTAAAAGCGGAAGAATTAACTGTCATTATTAGTTAAATCTCGTATTTGTCTTCATTCTCATAATCAACCTGTCTATTTTATATTCAAATGAATACCGAGATCTATGATTAAATCCGAAAAATTATATTTAGAAAGTTCCTTAAGACTACCGAACAGAAACTATCGTAAAATTTCCACAACAAATAATATTAGATATTTGCTAAATGTAGGTCAAACATAGTGAGAGCATGGTAAATTAAAATTTCTGCAAATCATTATATAGCAAATGATACAGACCAAGCAATATTGCTGCAAGCCTCTAGATTTGACTCAAAAGATTCATTTTAATATGAAAAGGATATAGAAATAATATTTATAATTTAGACATTGAACTAGATCAGAAAAATCATTTTGATGTGAAAAGCTGATAGATACAATATGTGTTTTTTAGACTTGGCTTAGATTGAATCGAGTTGGATAAAGAAATTCATTTTCACTAAAAAAGAGAAGATTTGATGGAAATCAATTTCCTCACTCAACCTAATGTAATTCAATCCAAAATTATATACATCATTTCTATATTGTTTTTATGTTAAAACCAACTTCCTGTGCTTAAGTTTCTAAGCATCAAGTATATGTTCATTAAAATTTATTTATAGCCCTTTCATTTGAGTTTTCTACGAATAATAATATAGTATATCATGAACATAGTACCTTTTGACACATGAAACTCCGGTTAGAGTACAACTTTAAATATAGGACTTTTGAATTCAACATCACGAAATCAATTTAAAAGTTATATTTCATTGCAGAAAATATAATCTAACACGATGATAACAAAACTTAATTAAAATATCAGGCAGTATAAACGATTTCTTCAAATGAACAAGTATAAATTGTAATGATAAAGCTTTTTCGCAAAACTCAGATGTTTAATTTAGAAAATATCAAAATACAAATCTCATACTGTTTATTGTTAATGATGAAAAATATCTTCATTTTAATAAGACAACTATGAATTTCCTGAATACTACAATAATTTATTTAAGATCAAATAGAGAATTATGTTAAAAAATCATTATTGAAAGAACTCGAGATGTTCACTACTCAATAACATAACTCAGACAAGTTCATTGCTAAGAATATCGTTTTATGTTCAATGTTAAAAGCGATTTTTCCGACAAAAATTTGTTTCTTTTCATAAGTTTGCATGACTTAAAACAAGGCTATAAAAAAATAAGATTAGTAATTTTTAATTATGGTCGCGTAAATGAAGAAAATTTTTTCTAATCGAAGGATTAATCAATTTTTGAGAAAAACAAAAACTATATTTCTTTTTTTTTTTGTTACCTTTGAATATCGTTTTGTCCAGTGTTTATCAACATTTTCTTTTCTATAATTATTTTTTTTATTGTCTTGAAATATATAAATAGCAATAACTTGTGATAATTCATGAATATGTGATATAATATTAGTAAAATGTTCACTTGAAACAATAAAAAAAATGAAATTGTTTTTATTAATATCGATAATAAATTCTTCACATTTATTAAAATCATTAAAACAACAAACATAATCAATTATTGATCGAAGTTGTTTATCATTCTCATTGAAATGTTCATCAAAACAAATAAGTGTAAATGGTTCAAGATCTTTTTCTCGAAATGATTTTTGTTCAGGACTTATTGAAGATAATTTACTTGTTTTACTAGTTGAAGTATCATTTGTTATTCTTGTATTTGATGATTTATTATTATCATTATTAGTTGCAGGTAATATCGAAAAACTTGATCCACAACCCATTACTAACAAACTGATACGTTTAAATTTTATTCATTTTTTTTATATAAATTTCGCCTTGAAATTTCACAATCGATTGTCAATTCAAACCAGCTCTAAGCAACAAATGCTTCTTTTTTCTTTCTTTATTTTTCTTTTCTTTTTCTTTTGAGAACGATGGAGCCCAAAAAAAGTTTTTGACATTTTTTTCTGTTGATTTAAGTGTTCTTTTTTTACTTTTCTATGACGATGACTACCGTGACTACATCAACACAATTTGTATAACGTGACGAACATTGAAGTAACTTTGTAGGAACGTCAGGTGTATTAATTTGAAAGGAAAAAAAAGTGGGACAGTAATAACGTGAATCTCAATGAGTTCTATGACAACAACAACAAAAAAGAAAAAAAAATATCGAGAAGAGTAAAATGAAGCAAGTTTTTTTTTTTTTTTATTAAAGCATATTATTAAAAGAGAGACTTAATTTTACTCATTTTCTAAATGGAAAACTTCAATTTTGAAACAAATGTCACACACTTCAAATGACATTCTTTTTAAAATTTTATCTTTATGTAAAAGGATGATATTAAAATTTTATATTCGTTTTTCTTTCTTTTTCCGTTCGCATAATATTGTTGCATAGCTCATGTAATTGAATATTAAAAACAAAGATAGTTACTACTTTAATATAATATTGAAAGAAAAAAAAGAATTCTATCATTGTTAAAAACCCGCATACTCATTTCAATCATATTTTCTCGAGAATAATAACACACATAAAATAACTCATTCGTCAAAGTCTTTTACGTCAATTCATTGATGAAATGTCATTAGACACTCGTTTAACATTTTAATCTAGAAATAACAATCAGAGTTAAAAACAAATATACACATAGTCTTTTGTATTTGAATCAGCCATCGAAGGTGTAAATAATAAATCACTCCGATCCGTAAAAACAAAAATATTTTGAGAGGCAACATTTTTGAAAATTTTTGTAACACTCAAGTTAAACAAGAACAATCGTAAGCAGCTGCAGTACGAGACACATAATAGGTTAGATGACTTAATATAACGATCTTATATCTTCAACTTGTATTACAAAGATATAGAATAACATATGGAGATCAAAACGTTCCTTTATTGTCTACGCTCATGAAGATCATGTACAATCTCTATTTTGCTTCGTATTTCATCATAGTTGATCGTATTACTCTCGACAAGATCAGAAAGAAATATGATCCTAACACTAAGTTATTTGAATAGTCATAATATGATCGTATACGTTCGTCACAATCGTTACGTCTTTAATATGATATCAAATCAAACAAAGAAAAATATCTGCATGGACTATTTTTTTTGAACACAAAAAAAAATTAATGAAAATATTGATATAGTTGTGTTCTTAAAAAAGAAGAGAGAACGTTGTTAGGAAGACAGAGGAAGCTGTAAAATCTCGTAGTACTTCGTTATCAAATCGCCATGAAAAATTTTCGAACCATTCTGCAGCAGAGAAGGTCATTGTGACACCAATAGTTATAGATCTCTAGTTTTAAAAATATATTAATTAAAAGAGAGAGGACACGATGTTTCAACGATGATTATGTCTATGGTTCATCGATTAATTAAATCTAATTTCCTTCTAGTATAAATTTTGTTCATTAGTTTAATTAGTCTTGCAGCTACACTTATAAAACATCATTCATGAATTACTCAATTAACTTTCAAATAAGAAACATAAAACAAACATGAATAAGTTTAAACTTTGCTGAGTAACACATTTTGATAAAAAAAATTCATAACGATAGAACTTTCTAGTACTCAACAAGTTTACATTTCAGTCGGAAATCTCGAATAAGAAAGTATAAACTCCTTCGTGTAATACAAAACCTCGGATCGTCAATCATGTCTAAGCGTAAAAACTTTTAGCTCAAAGGTTTTTTTTTAAAGAATAAAATAGTTTTTCAGAATTTAGGAAGTTATTTTTAGGGTATAAAAAAGTCAAGAAATAATGTTAATTTTAGTCTTTTAAGATTTTTCACTTCAAAATAGTGACGAGTTGACATATTTTGATATAAATATCCTAAATTAAAGTTCCAATTTTGCGTTAAATTAAGAGGAGTATTCTATTGCCGGTAGAATTTTATTTGTTATTGTTCGATTCTGCTTAAGAATAAGTAATAATAAAAAAACTCTTTAAACTAAAAGAGAAAAAAATAGAATATGTGCTTGTAACATTTCTTTGAGCAACCTTATTCTATAATATTAATAATAAATTTTAAAATATATTTTTTTGCAATACAAAAAACAAATATTTTTTTAGAACTCTAGAGAGAAAATAATAACACTTAAATATATTCAAAGAATAATATTCATTCATTCTAGCAAAAAATTAATTTAATCAAAGGTATCTAAGACTTCTTCATCGTATAAACAAAATTTTCAAAACAAAAAAATAAAAAACGTAAATAGAAACCTAAACAAAGGAATATTCTTTTCTTAAAATGATAAATATGAAATCTAACCAAATAAATAAATCAATTAAAAACCTTTTTTTTTATCTTCTCTTTATCGAATCTAGGTTAAGAAGTAGATGGCATACATAACTAACGTTGTTATTATAGTCGAAGTAAGATGTCGCTTTAAATTTCTCCTGATTGATTCTTTTAAAAATACAATTCTTTTAAAAAGAATAATTTTAACCGATCGATCTATATCATTAAATTTGTCGTATAAGTTTAAAAACTTATTGTATTTATTAATCGACTTTTCTCGTCTGTATTCTTTTGACATTATATCATTATCATTTGTAATGTTTTATTGGAACCTAATAAAATACATATGAAATACTCAAGCAAATTATTATTCAAATTTGTAATGAACTTCAATTAATATATTTGAATATTAAATTGAATAAAATAATCTCTGGTTTGTTTCAATTATGTTTTGATTAATCTTTTTTTACAACAAAATTGAATTTCTAATATCAATACATATAATAGTAAAGACAAAAAGAAAAAAACAATCATTTGTTCATTTTCGTATTATGAAAGGTAATTTAATTGATTAGTTTTTTTCAAATTAATTTTAATTTAAGTTTCATTAAGATTTATCGGGAATTACAAATTTCACTTTGAACATATGAAACGGAACAATCTGATATAAGTGATCTTTTTTATTTCGCAGTAACAATTTTAACTGATTATGTAAATATAGAAAAAAAAACAGATTGAAATTTTTTTTTTAAACTAATTTAGAGATTTTAAAAAGATGGTTGTTTTTATATTTTTAGTTGTAATTCTATGGAACTATTAATATGTACAACTAGAAATAAAATGTACGCAAAACAATTTATCATCCAAATATTCATCTTAATGACAATGTTTTTTTTTTAATATATACGGAAAAGAACTTTTATTTTAAAAAATTTCTGCTATTTTTATTTTCTTAAGAATCATAGGAAATCCATATAAATTCTAGTTACTATTCTTCTTCAAATCTTTTTTAGTAAGTTAGACTTGTACGAAGACTTGGATCTGGTTGACAGAAGTCTATTTTTCTTACACAACACATGGAAGTTTTATATTAATCTGAAAGGAAGATCTTTATTTCTGTTACCAACAGTAGCCTGCTAGATCGTCTAGATCACAATAACGAATTTGAATATTATCGGAATCTAGTTATTTTTTCGTTTTGACATAATAGAAGAATACTTACATCATTGTCAGTTGAAAATTATTTGTGTACATTTTATATGTATTTATCAACGAAAGAGATTTGTAGAAAAAAAATTGTCTTTTAAAATTAAAATGAGACGATTTTACAAAGACTTAGCCCTCAGACTTGGTAGATTCATATTGTACTGGTCTTATGAATAACCAGCGAACTCATCTTATATTTGTTTAATCGACAGATCCTCAAGTTCTTCGTAAACATATCTAATTCAATTAAAATGCGAACTCGATGTCTTTTATTTCATACAGACTCAGCTCAGCCTTTGCCTCATCTCAAAAGATTTTTAGGAATTTTTATTTGAAATTATTCGGCTTAATCGAAAAAACATTTATATAAAAGTTTTGAAGATTCTTGTGAGAAAAATAATGGATTTCTTTTAGTTATACTTTACTAACACTACGGTTTTTTTTTAATTATTTACCGTTAACATTATGTTTTTCTCTAAGGAATCAACTGAAGATAATCTATTGAATCAAGAAGTTGTTGTAATCATAAGAATTAAAATAAATCCATTTAAACCAAATGGCAGCTGAAACATTGAATAATATTAAATGTATAGTGACGCACCAAAGTTTAGAGCAGTTAGATTTTGGAGTTTTCTTTTCGATAGGAATGATTAGGAAGAATCTGAAAAAAACATTCAAGTAGCTAAAACAATTCTCTATAACGATTTATCCAATAAAACTAACTGGATTAGGATGTCTGAAAAATCAAGATCCGTCCCAAATAAATTTTCTGATGTCCATTTCAAGATTTTTGAAAATAGTTTTATTTGATAGAGCAAAATGAGATATCTCGGCTTCCTTCGTACCATTCTCGCATCGAACTGTACTCAATTTATAGAAGGCCCTAAAACATCAAACACGGCGATATCATTAAAATTTTTAAGAAACCCAAAGAAAAATGCTTTTAGACTCTTCTATAAATTGAATACAGTTCAATGAAGGAAAGTCATAACGAGAGGTGAAGCATTTCATTTTTTTTTTATATCAAATAAAATCATTTTCAAAAAGCTTCTAATCAATTTCAGAAAACTGGTTTCGGACGAATCATGGTTCTCCAGACATCATTATCCAAACAGTTTTATTCGAGAAATCTTGATAGAAAACTATTTTAACTACTCAAATGCTTTTCGTATTAATTTCATAAATTTGGCAAATGAAATTATCTATTTGAAATTTTATTTTTATAATATAAAAAGAAAAGTAATTTTAGATGAAAAAATTAAAAGAAGCACCAGTAATCGTTGAAACATCAGTTGGAAAATTTCTTTTACGAGATTTTCGTCCTCCAATTCAATTACGTACATCACCAAGAAAAAAGAAAAATAAATTAAAAAAAGAAATGAAAAGATTAGATGAAAATACTTTAACATTATTATCAAATAAAAAACAACGAAATAAAAAACGAAAAAGAAAAATAAATAAAATAAAAAAACAATTAAATTTTGATCATAATAATGAAGAACAAGAAAAACATTCAATTTTATTTATTATAACAAATGATGAACAAGAAAATCATTTAAATGATGATGAATTAACAAATAGTAAATATAAGTATGTTTTATTTTATATTTAATTTAAATTCAATTTTATCTTCTTTTTTATTTAGTCTTTGTTTTGTTAATTCAAAAACTCGTCGTGCTTTAATATTTTCTCCTCGATCATCTCGTATAAGTCTTCTTGGTCTTTTTTCATTAACACAAATATTTGGTCCACCTGCATCAATTCATGGTTTTAATATTGAACCATTAAAATCTTATTCAATATATAATCTTTCATCACAATCATTAATGTCTATTGAAACTGCATCATTTTTTTCAAAAAGTTCATTTCATGAAAATCAAATTCTTTCATTTTTTAATGATTATCATATTGAATTAACATTACCAGAAATTTATATTGAATTTATTCAAAAATTAGCAAAATTTCATCATGGTTTATCAGTTTTTTTTATTGAACAACTTGAAATAACATGGATAGAATCAATGAAAGAATTTAGTAATAGTAATCTTTCTAATCAATGGTTATTTAATTATAATGATGATGATGATGATGAACAATTTGAAAATACAGATGCTTTTAAACAATTATGGCCTGGAATGGGAGCTTTCAAAGATAGTTATGTAAGATTTTAATATTCAAAAACTATACTAATTATTCGGAATCTTTTGTTCATAAATTAAAGAGAAAAAAAATTCGTCAGATCTACTTGAATACTTGAGTGCTATTGTTTCATACTAATGCTGCTGAAGTTCTGAGTTTAAAAAAGATCGTTTCTTTTGGTTTTTATTAAAAATCAATGACTAGCAAATTTTCCTTATTGGCACAGCAAAAATGTTGTCAAATACGAACATCACTCTTTATAGAATCGAAAATTTCACGCCTTTATTTGAGAATCTTTATTAAAATTAAATTACATCGATGAGGCATCTTGTTCCGACTGTTAAGAGCCCCCTCCTCCTCCCTCAGAAATGATTTCCCACTTAAAATGGGCTTTTTGAGCTGAGAACTTCAGAGATGAGTGATCCTGGAGAGATACGTCTCTGGTAAAAATTTCAGCCCGATTGGCCTTACGAGACCGGAGTTTCAGCTGATTCATAGGCCATTTTTGGCCTTCAGGAGAATCTGGATAACTTTGTCGCAATACGAGGTATAGAGCTCGGGGTGGTTTCAAATTAAAGCCAATGCCAGTACGCAACTTTTCATCAACCAGAATTTTTAAATTCCGTATTGTTCATTTTTTATGAATATTTTAGTAAGCATGTCTATAAAAAAGCGTAAAAAGCAGCAATCTGACGACAGTAAATTCCACTTTTCTCAGCCCAGGAATCGGTTTTAAAAAAACTGGTTGATGAAAAGTTTCCTCTCATTGAGACCTTTAAAACAAAACAAAAGTATATGTGTTATATCTTGAACCGTGCGTGAGTTATCTCAATTTTTCTGACTGAAAACCATGTTCTGAGAAAAACGAGAAAGAAGTTTTAGAAATGGAGTTTTTCATTCAAATGCACAAAATAAGGGTACATTGATAATATTTAGGTGGAATTTTTGAAAGCAAACAATAGATGGCTTAATCTAGCACTACAGGCCGTACTATATGATATAAGAATGTTTATTCCATGCTGATAGAAGTAAAAAAGTAGTCTTCCCAAAAATTACAAAAACCGCGAAAATCTCTCCGAAAACCGAGTAGTGAGGTGGAAATCTCCTACGAAAGTCTGTAAAAATTTGACCTTTTTTTAAAAATTTATATATATTCTTAAAGAGGAAACTTCGCTGCATCTTCCTATGATAAAAACTCGACTTCGATTATTTTACTAAAAAATGAAATTTCTGAGGGGGCCCCCTTAATCTCCTTAGCGACCATTCTCAATATTAGATGAGGGAAGGTTTTGAAGTGTAATGCGCCGATCAAGTATTTATTTTGCTTATAAGTAAGTTTCAGTGAGACTAGAAAAAGTTTAAAACTGTTCATCCCCACACGATGTCTTTCTTAAGTTTCAATCGCTTTCCTGTATTTTCTACCTGAAGTAAAACATATATAAAAAAAATAAAATAAATGCAACTATGAAATTTCGTATATAGATAGATCTTATATGGTTACTAGAATGTCCTAAAAATTTCAGTCATTGAATATTCAAGAAAAAACCGTATTTGTCACAAGAAAAGTTCAGGATATCGGATGTCTTCAACATGTGAGATATCTCAAGAAGAAAATATTCTCTTGGACTGAGATTTTTAGGACATTCTAATGACGATAAGATTTATCTATGCATAAAATTTTATAATCGTATTTTTTTCATATATGCCTTGTTTGATGCAAAAAAAACTATAGGAAAACGGTGATAATTCAAGAAAGACAGAGTAAAAAGACGAACTTTTTTCGACTTCTTCAAGTCTTACTGAGACTTACTTGGAAATCTTCCGCTTGCAAATGCAAGAAGTATTAAAAATGTCCTATTTAATTTAGCATCATTCAATTATTTATTCAAGTGAAATTCGTTCAACAACCGATGAAATAATTTCTCGTCTTTTAAATAAAACTACTGATGATCCATTAATTGTATTTGTTTGTGGTGCAAAAGATTCTGGCAAATCAACATATTTACGTTACTTAATAAATAAATGTTTATCTCAAACAAATTTTCTTCCAAAAATAACATTTTTAGATTGTGATATAGGTCAAAGTGAATTTACTCCAAGTGGTTCAATATCATTAATAAATAATTTAACAGAACCATTATTTGGTCCATCAGCATCACATTTAAAAAAACCATTAAAATCATTTTATTTTGGTAATATTAAAGTTGACAATGATAAAATTCTTAATTATTTAAATTATGTTAAATTAACTTATGATTATATTAAAAATTATCAACATGATTTATTAGTTGTTAATACAATGGGATGGGGATCAGGTTAAAATTTTCAAAACAAATAAAATCTGAAAAGAATTTTGAAAAATTTTTCTTTATAGATACGGGTCTTGTTATAATGAAAGAATTAATTGATCTTCTTCAACCAACAATTCTAATACAATTACGTTCATCTAGTCCACATTTTCGTCATATAATGCCTGATATTAATCCACAATGGTCAATAAATGCACCTATTTCAAATATTTATCGTCAAACAAATAAAATTTCATTAAATTATTCATATAATAAATATGATTATAATTTATTATTAACACCTGTACGTCAACATAATTATGGAAAATCAAATTTAACACGTCAAGCATGTCTTTGGTCATATTTTTCTCAACTTGAAATAAAACAATTAATTATGAAACCATTAATCGATTATATTGATCATATTGAAATTTTACAATTTGAAAAAATTGGTATTGGATTATTACATCGACAAATTGAACCAAAATATTTATTACAAGTATTAAATGGATCTATTGTGGCTTTATGTAGGATTAGAAATGATATGGTAATAATGTTGTTTTTTATTTTTATCTTTTACTTTATTAAATACTATATTAGTTTACATGGTTGAATGGGAAAAAAAGTGAAAGTTTAGAGTTCGAATCTACTTTATCTCCTTTGAACTTTGGGCAACGATGAAACTACAGCCGGAGTAATGAAAATTATTCTAATTTAATGAATATTTGCTATTCTGAGCCCTTAGTTCATAACTAAGCTATTTTTTATACAACAAAAAAAAAGGATACTTTTAAGTGTTATTTTCAATTAAAGTTTAGACAGAATATTTTATCCTGTAGAATGTAATAAACGAATAAAATTCATTGTATAAGAAACTGTTTCAATAGTTATATTAAGACTAAGAGTATGATAACATTAAAAAGATACAAAATGATATTTACATAATATAAATAATTTTCGAGAAAAATGTTGAGACACTTTTTTTAAGAGACGTTCCACGAGAAAATCAAAAAATTTCACAGATCGAAAAACATGGGGGTCAACCGATTTTGAATTGGACCTCATATGAATTATGGCCTCAATGTGCCATACATGAATCGAAAATATTTCACTCCGGAAACTTTCCTATGATTAGTTAGAGCAGATGCACTGAAGACACCCTAAAAAATAGGGTAAAAAAGTACACAAATTTGATCGACACATTTCTTTCGATTTTTTGGTTGAAAAAGTTTGACTGTTCAAATCAAGTTATGTACCAGTCGATAGAGCTCGAATTGCTCTACAAAACGGTATGTACGATATTCGTCTAACATTTACATTTGAAACCGAAAAAGTTAAAAAATCGCATTTTTTCTGTGAATCAATCTTTGTCAATTTTGCAGTATTTTGGCCAAATACCTAGGTCAGAAATCGATTGCCAAAAATATTTTTACATCATCTTGTAGCCCATTCAATTCTGCATCGAACCATGTATCGGACATTATTTCAAAACGAGCAGCCGGTGCAAACTTTAAACCTGAATAGTGGCTGCTGACACTATATTTTAATTCTCTGGCATGCAAGTACATATTTATATACTTGAGATTTTTCTTGACAGCTTTGTAGTTTTTCGCTTGAATCAAGTATCACTGGATAGCGCTCAATTTTCTCTACAAAAGTGTATGTGAAGCAATTTGTTATGATGAATATGTAAAGCAGAATATTGCCTTATAAGTTATATTGCAGTAAATGTAAGAAGCAACCCTTACAAGAAGGCAGTCGATTTGAGTTCCATCAACAAGCAATGGAGAAGTGTCATTTTATGCCATAAATTTTCTCTCGTATAACTCATCGTGGGTCCCTCTATCTAATTTCGTAAAAAAGTCCCGGGAAAATATTAAAAA